GAAATAATTTAATAGAAATGTTAAGAACTACTTTCATAGAAAAAAAGTTACATTTTAAGAAATAAGATATAATTAGATTTAAATGAAAAAATTTATTATAAAGATATTTATGTATTCATAAAAAATGTATTTGTAAAATTTATGAGTTCATATACAAATTAAAATCGATGTATTTTATAAGTACCTTTGGCTGCAAAATACCATCAACAGATTTTTCAATGTTCGTTTCAAATACATGGGCTTTTGTCAATTTTTTGTCCCAGTGAGCGGCTAACCAAATGCGTGCTAATGGCCCTTTCTTGGCCAACACGAAATGTGCGTAAAACATTTTTACCTCGTGTTATGCCCTCTTCTGTAAATAAAATTATACGATATTAATAAAACTAGTTAAAATGATTCAGTCTGTTATGTTTGTAAACACAAACTTAAACACAAGAGGCTAATTCGTTAACGCGACTTTTCGTTAGCAACATAATTATCACCTTATAATTGATAAAACCGGTTGATGCGTCAATTAATATATGAAGTTAGCATTTTTAATATTTATAAACACTGAAAATCGAGTCGTGGGACTCGAACAAAATAGCGATCATGTAATTTTTCTTAATTTAGTAAAATGTCAACATCTTTACACAAGATGGCGTTTCTGTCTGTAATTTTGGCGGTTACGCGTAAGTTGTTGAACACGTAGTATGTTCTATTCTATTTCTGTGTAAGAGATGTTATGATAACTCATTAACGACAAATCTTAAATTATTAATTTCATATTTCATGTAAATTGTTACATTTAACTGATATATTAGAAAATCATTGACACATACGGTACGTTTCTTTTCAGCGCGTCTTCACAAGAATCTGCTACTAATTTCACTGAACGTTCCAAAACTCCCTCCACTAGTGATGAGGAGATATGTTCATAAATCTACAAAATTCTGTCCTTTTAATCTACGATTAAGTTAAATATCTATATGAAATATTTATATAATTATCTTTATTTCTGTCTTTTATTCCACAATTAATGTAAAAATAAATGTATGTTATGCTATGAGTGAATAAGAGGAAATTAAAATCTACTCATTACATACATTATTCTTGACTTGTAGTATTCACCAATAATATTCAGTATTTTATACATTTTCCTAGAAATATTTTTTTGTCGTAAAATATGTGTAATATTAAAATTTATAATTATTTATTTGAGATGATGAGACACTGTTATTAAATAGCATTTATAGAGAATTTATTTCTAGAATATATTTATAATATAGAACATACATATGTATTTCATTCATACAATTACGTAGTAATATTTTCAATAGCACTAATAGCTTTTAATAATGTTTTCATAAATTGAAATAAAAACTTTTGTTATGTAACTTCATATTTAGGAGATTTACTTTAAATAGGATAATATTATTGCATAAAGATTAAGGTATTGAATTGGCAACAATATTAACCAAAAAATTGACATAAACACGTGATGATTTCTTAAAAGTTTCTTTATCTTTTTTTTAAATATATGTACAAATTTTTATTGTTTATATAAGATACATAGTTTAAATAACAATTCTGTTTTCTTCAAATGGAAGATAAAATACAGATTTACACTTATGCTTTTAAATATGTATATATTGTATGTACCACTTTTTGTTACAGAAATGGGAAAGGTATATTCTTATATTACACGGCCAATTCGTTCATTTAACATTGAAAATCGTACAGCACATATTCTTGAAAGGAAGAAACCAATTCCTGCTCCTCAATATCCATCAGTAGAAAAACAAAAAGAGCTAGTGGATAAATGTAAATTTTTCTCTCAATATTTCAATTTCTTTTGACAAATCATTATTAGAGTCAAGAACAAAAGAATTATTTTATAAGATGTAGTCTGCATGAAAACAATTATTCTTATCTGTTTAGTTATAATGTAACAATTTAAATTTTGGTTTAATTCTTAAATAATGTTTGTAAATTTCAAAAAATCTGTCATTTTTTATGTCAGACAATAATAGATCTATACATTTCTAAAGTTTATTTCCATTTCAGTAAAACCTGATTTTAAAGAGATTCAATTTAAAAA